CAATCATACAATAAAAAGGTCAGAATTTGTACAAAGTTAATGCCAGAATCAAAATATTTCAAACAATTTTTTTTTCTGGTGTAAAGAAAAAAGTTCGTTAAAATAGCTTGGGAATAACTTATTGCTATCAAGTTGGCTCCGACTCAGAGCCATCCTGTAAGCTAGAAGATAAGAACTGCTCTCAAGGGTTTGGAGGCTGGACACATTTAGGGGAGGAGTACGTAGTCTGATCTTCCTCCTGTGGCTCAAATGGTTGACCTTCCAGTTGGCAGTCCAAACGAAACCCACTTCACCACCAGGACTCGAGCTTTGAAAACAGTGCTAGAAAATGTCCATAGAAATCTTTTGACAGCTAAGTGGAATTTTACTTGATCAATTTTAAATACAGAGGTCTTTATCATAATTAAGAATAAAAATACATTTATTTCTGATATACTACTAAAAACGCTCCTACAACCATATGCAGATGGTTTCAAAAGTCTTAATGTATAAATATATCTATAATACTCTTTAAGGAATCCTGGTGGGACTGTGAGTTAGGTGCTGGGCTGCTCACTCCAAGCCTGGCTACCCAGAACCCCCCCAGTCACTCCAAGGGATAAAGATACGACTGACGTTCTTAGAAACTCTGCATAAGGCCAATGTGAGTCCGAATTGATTCAAGCACAATGGGTTTTTAAAAAAATATTACACAGAGAAGGCACTAAGGAAATTTTCTGGCAATATACATGAGTGTTAGTATTAAAGCGGGTTTTGAAAAGCATTATTTATTTATTATTTAGCTATTTTTGTATTTTTTTAACGGCCCTTTGTTAGCATAAGGGGTTAAGCCTTGGGTTCAGCTGTTCAAATCCATCAGACACTCAGAGAGAGAAAGATGAGGCTGATTTCTCATAAAGAATTGCAGCCTCAAAAACCTAAGGAGGTAGACCTAATTGGCCCTATAGGGTCACTGTGAGCTGAAACTGGCTTGATGGCAGTGGGCCGGGTACTCTGTTTTATTTTATTCCTTTGTGCCAGAATCAATTCCAACTCACAGTGACCCTTAAGGACAGAGAACTGCTCCACATGGTTTCCTAAGCTATGCCAACTAGCTTTCAAAAAATTCATAGAAAATTTTCATTTAAAAAAAAATTCAAAACGTCTGCAAAATGTTTGAACTCCCTTGTAAGACTACCAGGTCTTTTCTCCATCGACTCCCTCGAAGCAACTGGTGATTTTGAACCACAGACCTCTTGGTTAGCTGTCTAAGTGCTTAACTACTGCATTGCCAGCACACCTTAAATTTTAAATAGTTAAAATATATTTAGCAATGAGATAAATGAAACAAGATTTTAAAATATTACCCTCTAATAAAGAAATATCAGTGCATTTTGTACAAAAATTCCAATCACAAGTCATTTTACCAGAACTATCTAAAGTTGCGCTGACTATATAGAGCACTCACAGAAGATCATGAGACTGTAAACACAATCACGTGAAAAAGAAAGCAGACAATTATGTGAGAGATGATTACTTATGAAAAGGAAAAAGCAGGGACAAGATGGTGTGTCTAGACTTACCCGAGGTCTTGCCTGAAAGTGACACTGCTCTGTTAGTGCCATAAAAACACCAAGGACAATGTGGTCCCAGGAAAGTGAAGTCAAATGAGGAGACCAATGGTCCAGTACTGACCAGCCCACCCTAACAGACACTTCCTTTCTACGGCAGCTCGTTCCCCTGCCATGGATTCTGCGGGATGAGCCCGCCACTGCAACCTCTGCCACCTGGTTCGTGTCTCAGGTGAAACTTCGAAGGGTTGAAAAGAAAACTTTCGTAGGTGTGTTGCTGTGGAAAAGGTATTTTCATAACTAAAATCAACCTGTGTCTGCTTACAAGAAAGGAAGATCCAGGAGTGTGGTCTAAAATCATCCTTAAACTAGTCTGTTGCTTCTTTATTCTCAAAAGTTATAATTTCCCTCAGGAGCAGATAAGTAAGCATCACTGGTATGAGAAATTACGATCATGATTGTGGGAAAAGAAAAAAAAATGGAACTCACAAATGGGTTTAGTCCTATGGTCACACAAAAAGATAGTTCAAGATCTTTCATAGAAACACGATTCTTCACTGTTACAGAAGAAAAAATCTTTTCATTTTACTGTTTCAAAGGCCTAGATCACTAATTAATTACAGAGAAAGAGCCAAACTCTTTTCCTGTGGCAGAAATAGAAAATTTTTCCTACCACATGATATGGGATGGGGGAATGCCATTTGTGGTAGTTACATAAGGTAATCTGTTGTCAATTTGAGACGTAAGAGTGAAGGGGTGGAGGTTAGTCTGTCCATCAGGTCACAGCTTGATGACCTCATTTGGAAGCACTAAGGAGATACAAAGCTCACTGGAGGCGGACACACATTCCCTGCTAGACATTGCTTTTGACAAGCCACATGGAGACAGGCTGATGGCAGTCAGACCCTTGGAACTCAAGGAACCACATGGTGACTCCTGCCAGCGCTGAGATGCTTCAACCACCACTGGACCCACAAGACTTGCCACCCACTGGTCTGGGATCTTCCTGCATTCTGCGTCATTGTATGTGTTGTATGAGTCTGAAGAAAAATTCACAGACTGTTGATGAACATATGGGCTAATATCGGGTTTATGGACTTGACCTGGGCTGGGATGTTTTCTCAGTATTCGATTGCTCTTGTATATAAAACTCTTTCTTACACACATACTCTATTTTATATTACCTGGCACCCATTCTTCTTTGTATATTTTCATATGGTTTTTACTATACCTTTCAATATCTAGAAAAAAGCAGAAATAAAAAGCATTTATTAGAAAATGAAGAATAAACCTAAATTTAAACCAGTCTTTTAAGATAACTTTTTGAAAATAGCAGGTGACATATTTGATCTGTGGTATACTGGGTTACATGCTGTGCTGCTAACGGCAAGGTGAGCAGTTTGAATCTAGTTTGAATCTCAGGGAGATAAAGACCAGGCTATCCGCTCCCACTTTGCACACCCGAAGGGGCAGTTCTACACTGTCTTCTAAGGTCACTGTGGGTTGAAATGACTCAATGGCTGCGTTTTGGGTGTGTGAGTGTCTCCTACATTTGGACAGAAGATGTTCCTGAATACAAACTGAAAAGTTCAAAGAGAATCAATCACACACTTCAGGATGTGGCAAGGGATGGCTGGGTATGAAGAGTCAAAAACAAAAAGAAATATAAATTCTTACTTACTGGTCTTACTGGTCCTTACAGTCAAACACCCTGACTCATTTATGCAAATGTTCACAGCAGCCCAGAGGCAGGGCGGTGAGGTCTTACTTAAGAGTCTTCTCCTTGCTTCTTTTGAGACTACAGTACAGTATTCTCTAGCTCATCAACATGAACCTTTTTGTAACTGAATGCATTCCATACCTAAAAGGGGATGGAAGGCTGTTTTGCTCATCTCTAGCATAATAACACACATGATTATTCAATTGGGGCCCTCCATGAAGGACTTTACGCAACCCATGGGGAACGAAGATGGGGGAAAGGAGAGTAAGTAGGAAGCACTGGGCCAAGTCAGGGGTTACCTGCCTGAAATATGAATGACCAACCAGTCAGCCTTCCATGCCAACTTCTGAAAACTCTTGAGGAGATCCTGTGAGTTTCCCAAAAGCAGGGCTAAAGCTGTGGTTATTGCTCCTGCTTAGCCGGATTTACCACGAGCAGCTCCCTTGATGAGGACCCTGACCCTTTCCCAGATGCATGATAATAGCTGGAAACCATGATTCATCATAGAAACATAGCCACAACACAGGGACAAAAGGTGAATATTAAATACAGGGGATTAAATGCTTTGCTGACATTTTTTTCTACATTAATTGAATGTTTCAAAAAATTACATGGGCCAGTGTTAGAGAAAGACAACTAATATAGTGATGAAGAGAAGAAGCTAAGTTTTATAGATATTAAACTTTGGTTCTAGGTCAAATGTTTAACTAATCTTTTCCTCAAGTTTATCATCAGTAAAAAAAGGTCAGTATAAAATAGAAGATTCCCAACATTTCATTGCAACAATTGCTTTTTGATCATTTTCTCCAAAATGAATTCCATAGTTTGAAAAATTTTAACCCTTATTATACCAGGGAAAAACAGGTGCTCCTTAGTTGAGAGTATCCAGACCTTTGGCCAACCCACTTTTGCTTACCCAAATCCAGATGTCTGATAGCCTTGCTGCATTCCGCCCTACCCCTGTGCCCCTCAATCTAAGCTGACAGCATTGAGATGGCTGATCTTATCTGTCAGTCACATATTGAACCTCTCAATGAAAGCCTGTCTACTCACACACGTGGCCTAATCTAGATAGGTTAAGAATTTTCCAAATCATAAAAGTGCTTATTCTCTGCGTATCAATTCCTTCTTGAATACTTCGTTCCTCTCACATTTAACTATAAACAACTAGGAAAAACCAGGCCACACCTCTCATATTTTGCTTGGAAATCTACTCAACTAATTACCCAAGTTCATAACTTACAAGTTTTGCTTTTGTACAATGGTAGAATACAGTTGAACCAAGACGTTTGGATTTTAAAATAAGGATTACCTTTCCTCATGCCCAATAACATGTTCACCATGTTCTTTTTAGGCTTTGCCAGAAGCATCTTTAATATTCTATTTCTAGCAATTAAAAAAACATCAAATTGTGAAGATCCAAGATGCAAACACACTACGACTGAGAAAGAACAAAGTTGAAGGAAACACCCAACTTTAGACGGACTTTAGTTACAGTACAGAAGGAAGCAAGGTTTGGCAAAAGAACACCTAGAGCACTGAATAAACTATTAACTTCAGTTACTAATACTGAATCAATAGTGATTCATTAATTTTAATAGGTGTACTTTGCTAATGTACGACGTTATTACCCTGGGAAACTGAATGCAGGGTATGTGAGAACTCTTTGTATTATCTTCTCAACTTTTCTGTAAATTTAAGCTGTTCTAAAGAATAAAGTCCATTACAAAAATTAAGAAAACAAAATTAAAAAACCCACTGTACTGCATTCTAGTAATTCAGTATGACTAATAATTATTCCGAGCTTAAGATCAAAAGGTATCTATCTACATAAAAGCACGAAAGATTCTAGTTTTAAAATGGTTACTTTTCTTTTTCTCAGAGAAAGAAAGAGAAGTAGCAGTAAAATAAGGGGGTCTGATTATTAAAACATGTAGTTACACACACACACACAGATGAAGCTGCCAACTCCTGTGAAGATTTAGTCTCAGAAATCCAGAATCCAGTCACGAGGACTTGAGGGCAATGGGTGAGAAAGATGAGGCTGACTGCTCCCACAAAGGAACAGAAGCAGATGATTCCTTATAGTTTTAAATGTTTTATTGGACACTTATCAAAGATAAGGAGCATGCTGAACCAGGTACAAGCCAACCTGCTGACAAAATCAACAAGAGAATTATGCTCTTAATGTCCCTGCCTCAAAGACTCACATAAATGCTTTCATGATTTGATACAATTTTAAGCTACAGATGTGTTTAAATAACAATAACATTCAAATAAGAAAATCTGCCCCTGATCCATAGAAAAGACTAATTTTAAAAGTATAAATGTATAGATTACATGAGAAGCTGATGCCAGGGGCTTACGTGGAGAACAAATGCTTTGAGAATGATGAGGGTAATGAATGTACAAATGTGCTTTACACAATTGATGTATGCATGGATTGTGATAAGAGTTATATGAGCCCCTAATAAAATGAATTTTTTTAAAAGATAGGAAAAAATGTATGCTTTACACTACTACTTTTTCTAATAAGAATAAATGCTTATTAGTTCAGTCTTTCTTAAGCCATAAAAATGATGTTTTCATTTTACAGCTTAATATATAAAAGCATGTACAAAATCAATGAAAGCAGGGGAAAAAAATCATTATTTTTAAAGGTAAAAATATTTATCAAATCATCATACACACACCTTCAAGCAGGTATATATTTTTAAGTTATCTAAAAAGTTCCATATAGTTATAAGAACATGTAATATCATTGTAAGAGCCCCCAATAAAAGTATTCAAAAATAATAAAAAAATAAAAAAAATTTTTAAAGACTTATTTTTTGACTCTTAGCCAACTCGAAGTCTTTGAAAAGGGAAATGCATTTTTAATACTAATGGAAACACATCAGACGGTATGAACTTCTCATGTTCTAATGATGTTTTCAGCACTCAAGGATAATATTGATCTTTATACTTTGAACAATCAAGAGTAGAAACTGAAAATCAATATCGTCCTCGTCGGTTAAATCACCTCTCAAGAAGGGCTCCTCTAAAACCACTTCCCACTTCTAATCGCAGACCTTCAAGCACCCTTCAAGCATTCAAGTGTAATTTCTCCTCTTTGCCCTTTAAATCACAGAGGAAGACATCCTTCTTATTTTCTCATTTATCTGAAAAGTGATCAACTAGAAAATAGTCAAGGCTTACCACTTTTTACTCTAAATAAATCATAAGAGACCTGCATAAAGATTTGTATGCAAAGGACAAGGACAGTTATCACAGGGGAAAAATAAAGCTGGAAACAATTTTCAATCTAATTATTGCTGTTAGTTGCTTTTAAGTTGATTCTGACTCACATCAATCCCCTGTGAATTAATGATGATTCATAATGTTAAGTCCATATAATGGAATAATAGTCCATTTGTATGAATACTTAAAAGTTTTATAAACAAAATTTTTACAATGTGTGGTAGTTACATAATCTGGTGTCAACTTGCAAAGGGGTGGAGCCTCGCCTGTGAAGCAGGTTGCAGCTGGATGACCTCATTTGGAGGTGCCACTGAGATAAACAGCTCACTGGAAGCCAGATTCACACAGACGCTCCACTTGTCTCCCTGGGAGACACTCCTGTTGACAGGGCACAAGGAGCTACGCGAGAGCCCTGGGCTGGAGGAGGCACGTGGAGACCCACGCCAGTGCTGAGAGGCTTCTCCCACCACTGGATCCACAAGACTTTCTAACCAGTGACCTGTGATCTTTCTTCCTGCACTCGGTGTCATGGCATGTGCTGTGTGAGTCTGAAGAAGAATTTATAGACTGGTAATGGACATATGGGCTGATATCGGATTTAAGGACTAGACCTGGACCGGGCTGGGAAGTTTTCTTAACGTACAATGGTACTTTGCTATAAAGTTCTCTCTTACACACACGAGTGTCTATGAATTTGTTTCTCTAGTTAACCCAGACTAACACACAATTCTATTAAAAATACATGGACACACAGAAGAAATAGGTGAAATATATAATAGGCTATTAACAGCGCTTCTCTAGATAAAAGCATTACGGATGTAATCATTACCTTTTTAGTACTTTTCTATTTCCTACACATTTATCTAAACATATAAAGCTTTTATAATGCAAACTTATTTTAAAAAGCAAAATATATAAAATGTTAAAACATTTTTCCTATTGAGTCAATCAATATACATATACCTTTTCATGGCAGTTGGCAATATCTGAGCAAGCAGAATCAGTAGGCACGAACTAATCACACATACTGGGCCAAAACATTATTTCATATGTACACATTAAGCCATGTCGCCAAATGGCTATATACAAACCTTGTTTTTCTTCATGCGGTTCTATGAAATAAGGCATTCTTTTCATTGTTTCTCTCAGCTCCTGCTTCAGGGCCAGCATATACTCTTCACCTTCTCCTGTTCTCAGGGGCACTGGTTTATAATCTGTATCCTATTTAAATTAAGAGACAAAGGGGTGTGTTTGTGGGGTTTTTTTAAATAAATACTTTAATATCATCTTTGTCTATATTCTGGAAAACATCAGTTACATTTCCTGAGAGGAGGGGGTCTTAGGAGCTTATCACACAGCACATTTCTTATTTTCTTCTATGTTAGAAGAAACATGCATAGTTTCCATACGTATCAGTGGACACCCAAAATCCATTTGCAGGGTCCCCCACATGGATGACGGACGGTACCGTCGACAAATATTGAAAGTACCATGGACAGCCAGAAGGGCAAATGAATCCGTCTTGGAAAAGTACATCCAGAGTGCTTCTTACAGGAATGGTTGGCAAAACTCCATCTTACATACTTCGGACATGCTGTCAGGAGAGGACAGTCCCTGGAGAAAGGCATCATGCTTGGTAAAGTGGAGGGGCCCTGACAAAGAGCAAAGTCCTCAATGAGAAGGATTGACCCAGTGTCTGCAGGTATGAGCTCAAGCACAGGTAGGAACAACAGTAAGGATGGTACAGGACCAGGTAGTGTGTGGTTGTGTTGTGCACAGGGTTGTTATGGATCGGAACCGACTAGATGGCACCCAACAACAACACATGGATTAAGGCACCAGTCAATTCCCTGACCATAGTTCAGGGATGTGACTAGCCTTGCTATGAGTCAGAGAACACTGTAATGTAGATTATGGCAGATGTAGTTAGCTTAAAAGGTAATACCTTATCATTTGATTTCCCTTTTGACCCAAAGTTGTTTCCGTTTTTAATAGTTTCTGCTTTTTTAAATTGAGGTTTTTCTATCTCTTGTTGATGGGGGTTTTTGTTTGTCTGTCTGCTTCCTGTTTGTGATTTATATGATTTTCTGCATATGAAATCCAGGATAAGTAGATCTAGAGACAATCACTGGATTGATAATTGCCTAGGGGCGTGGCAGGGAAATAGGGAGGTAAAAACTATAAATAGGTCCGAAACTGATTGTGGTGATGAGTTTTAAATCATATGACATGTGAACGAAATGCCAATAAAACTATTTTTAAAAACCCACACTAACCCTTTTGTTATATTACTATAACACTGCTCACCGATAAGATTCCAAATTTCAAAATCAAACGAGAGCAACAGCACTTGCTTCCTCTTAGCGACAATTGGTCTCAAAGATGAACTGTCACCTCAAAAGGACCCCCGTATGACAGAGCAGAGAAGTGGCCTGCATAGGTGGCCCTGGTAGGTAGGCAGGCGTTGGACTGCATACCTCAAGGTTTCTGGCCTAGAAACCCTACACAGCGTGACTATGAGTGGAAAGTGACTCTGCGGCAGTGGACCTGGTTTGGGTTTTCCGTCTTTACAGGAACATCTCCAAGCCTTTTCCCCAGTGAGCCGCTAGTTGGGTTCTAACTGCCCAACCTCTCCGCAGTCACCTGCCAGCCTCCCAGTTAGCAGCCTTAAGTTTAGCTGCTGCGTTACCATTAACTTCAATCAGTGGAATTGATAGTATTAATGGGAGCAGTACATTTTTTTAAAAAAAGAAAAGGTAATCTATTGCTTAGAAAATGCTTACCACAACTATAATGTGCTTTAATATTTGACATAGTTTTATTTTAAACATTATCAGTATTTCCCCTTTTACAGTGAAAAAAGCTGAACTAAACAATTTGCAATCCTTTTTGGATAGTGAATGGCAAAATAGGAGCTTGAAGTTAAGCATTTAATTGATGTGTATGTGTGTGTGTGTGTGTTTGTATGTACATATATATATTCACTAAAACGGCCCTGGGGCTACACAGTAAAGAAACTCCTAGTTTCAGAGGGCAAAAGATGTGGCTCAGTTTTAAAATTTGACCAAGAATTTAATTATTCACTTCATGTGTTAATTCAGTGCCTCCTGTAAGTCAGACAGTGTTAGACTACAAATCATCCTATGGTGAAGGCAAAGTCTTTGCCCTTGGGTGAAATATGACACACAGATGAACAAATGAAATATATAATATCAAGTCATGATATCAAAACCAAACCCTCTGTCATGGAAATGATTCCGGCTCATAGTGACCCTACACAAGTGTTTCTATAAGTCTTTATAGAAGCAGACAGCCACAGCTTTCTCCCTCAGAGTGGCTGGTAGGGTTGAACCACCAACCTTCTGGGTCATATCCCAGTACCTAATCAAAGCACTACCCGGGTGTCTGAGGAAACATTGACTTACAGAGTACAGGGAGGATTGAGGATGGGTGGCTAATTTGGACAAGGTAAGCATGGCTGGCCTCTGGAGAATCACATCTGACCTGGATAAAGTTGAGGATTGAGGACAGATGGCTACAGCAGGGAAACTGCAGGCACAGAGGTGTGAGGGGACCCGGAAGCCAGCAAGGCTGAACACTGAGGACTACGGTATGACAGGGCCAGAAGGACCATGTAGGCTAAACGACACAGAACCTGCTAAGCAGTACTTAGGAATTTTAATTTAATTCCATGTATGAGATAGTAACGAGAACTAGCAGTCCAGCATTTAAAAGTAATCTCTAATCAGGCATCCTTTTAAAGAAAGCACCATAAGGTGGCATTGTATGATTGTGATGCATATGTTTACCCTTTCTTGTATTCTCAATACCAAAAAGATGAAATATGGGCAATTTCCATTTACAAATGTCCTACTTACCTAGTAACTTACATAATGAGTACCAACCACTGTAATAACCAATTTTATTAAAATTTGAGGTACATACAATGGTTTGTAACAACAAGCAGGTGCTACTTTGTGATGGGCATCAAAACATTATTATTATTATTGTATGATAATATTAAAGCTGCATTCATGTTTGTGGAACTCTTTCTTTTGTATGCATAGAAATATACACTATATACTTAGACAAATATTTGACTAACAGACTATAAGTACCTGTTCTGACTTACAAATTCGACTTAACAACAGACAGGAACTGCAGTGAATGAATGAATATGACTCTTCTAGCCAAAGTCTTTGTTGCTCCCAGCTAATGACTTTTTCCTGCTGAGCCTGGGTTAGAAAGTGGTAAAAGAGAGGGATTTTTGATTCAGCTGTGAGTGATTGTTAAAAAGTTTACTTGTGATTTGCCATCCAGCTGGGTATAAAATAAGCCAAAGGTGGGGATTTCACTATTGGCAAAAGAGCCAGGAACTCAGTGTGTCTTTTGGACCCCAAGATCCTTGGGCATTAAACTTCCTCGACCCAGGAGACAGCCTGGACACCAGAGGAGTGGCAGGGGTGTGGACATACCAAGAGCCAGGGCATGAGACAGAGCAGTGGACTTCCCAGCCCACAGAGCAAGTAAAAGCTGAGCCCCTTCAGGCAGAAAGCTGGCTTGTGGAGTGAGGTACCGCTAAGCACTTAATTGGAGATGCTAGGTTTGCAGACCCATAGAGCTGAGTAAAGCACCTTCCGACTGAGGCAGTGGCATGTCCTCTGGGCATTTGTTGGTAGACCTAAAAAAAAAATTTCATTACACTGGATGAGTAGGGCAGTGGTGGAATGGGCTGTGTGGCTGAGAGAGGCCTACCTGTGCGCATGGTTAAGAGGCTGTCCTGTCTGAATATGTGTAATCTATTAACTTCCTTAATAGACTCCATAATTATAAGTATTGGCTGTTCTGTATGGTCACTGCAATGAATTATCAAACTCATTTGAGAAGTAAGAGTGCACCTTGGAAGGGATGATTAGAGGGTGGGGCATGTCTGACAACCTCCAAGTCATCAGCCTTGGCCACCTGATGCTGATGATGGGGATTTTTCCTTCCTTCCCTTGTGTAGCTGGAGGAGATTGGACATGGCCCTCATGGCGTTTCTTTTTACAGGGACAGCATTCACTTAGATTCTGGGGACTGCTTGTATCAAAAGCAAAATGCAGAGAATGTCCGTGTGAGAAATCTAGATTGTCAGTTACGTTTGCCTGGGAGCCTGTACCTATATACATCCTTTGGTGAAGTATTTTCCCTTTTGAGATAAAGGATTCCTGGGGAGAAAGGTATCTATGTTGCTTTTGATGGTTTTTAATTTTTTGTAGCATGGCATAAGTACACCTGGAAATGTAAGCATGTCTCAAATCAAATATAAAGCAAAAGCATTAAACATCGATTATAGCAATTAAGCCTACTCTAAAAGTAACACGATATAGCAGAAATGATTATTTTTAGGGAAACTAACAAAATTCTAAGGCAACAGGCAAAATATAGCAAACATTTAGTGGAGAGAAAAAAAGGCTAAGTAAAAATAAAATACATTTCTTTTTAAAAGTCCAAATGGTATAAAAGAGAAAAAAATAAATTTATAAATATAACATTCATTAAACAAAAGTAAGGCAGGGGAGGAGATGAAAATTATTGTTAAAACCCAACTTGGAAAACAAAAGCAAAAACCCCAAATTGACTTTAAAATATAATTTTGAGATTGGACAACATCAATAAGAGCAGTAGAAGGATATAAAGATCTAAGAATACCTTTTTTGAGGGGGGGGGGGCTCACATAGTGCTGACTATATGCATGGAAAAACATATACTATGTTTTCTGATTTTTAAAAAGTTCAAGAAAAAACAATTAAAATTTCACAATTAAAGTTAAGTGAACCTTCCAAACCCACTGACATCAACTCAATTCTGAGTTCAAAACTATAGGCTAGAGAGGAATTTCCTGTGTTGGTTTCCATGTCTGTCTGTCTCCCATCGCTTCGTCCGTCTCCCTTGGAGCAGCTGGTGGGTTTGAACTGATGACCTTGCAGTAGAGTTACAAGTAGTTCACTGTGCCACCGGGACTCCTAAGCGAACCTTGGCTCTTTTCTTTTTTTTTTCCCCCAAGGTGTCAACAAGGGGAGCTGCTCTTTATTTCAGAACTCGACCTTCAACAGTGGCTAGCGTGGCATGGTGCTCATCTGGGAGAGGCATGCACTCGTGATACACTGCTTATTCACGTGCCTCCCCCACCCCAGCTTTAAAACAGGGAGCTATTATCTAAGCACCCTTGACAGAAGGCTCTTCAGAGTTGAACTTGGACTTCCGAGTCACCTCCACGATGCAGCATGGCAGGTTTCATGATTAAATCATTTTACTGGGGAAACGTTACACTTTGAGCCCAAGATCAAGAGCCCGGTTCCCACCGGGTTCAGCAGGCCCAGTGTCGGGGGCGCTCAGGCAGAATGTGCCAGAGTCCCACAGTGCTTGTGCCACAAGTTGATGGCCTTGCTCACGATGGCGTCCAAGCTGTCCTGGGGGGTGTTTTCCAGGAGCCTGGTGATCTTCCCAGCACTGTTCAGCCCGGTGATCTTCTCAGCACCATTACTTTTATCTTGAAGGCTAACAAAATTTCCACTGCTACAAACACAAGGATCTTACAAGATCCACTTACGACTTTGTCCCAAACTCTCTGCAGACTGGACTCGGGCAAGCAGCCCACAAAGCAGTTCTTGAACCAGAAGTCATAGGGCAGTTTGGAGAGTGAAGAACACGTCTTCAGGTGATGCAGCAGCCTGCTGTCTTCCAGATTCAAGTAATCAAGTCAAATGCCTTTGGCAGCTGGGGCAGAGCGTCCCGGTACTTCCTTAACGGGCTGACGAAGCTGCGGATGACCCAGTAGCAGTCCACGCTGTCCTCCACCATCTCCTCTATGGCCTTCGCGATGGCCAGAAACACCTTGTCTTTGGGCTCCAGCGGAAAAGAGGGGCTTTGTGGCAGCTTCCCGGACTCTAGCTGGTACATACGAAGAGAGACTTCCACCTGGGGCGTGCTAGGCCCCACGAAGTGGATGCCCCCCAGGGCGTGCAGGATGTCCAAGTGCTCCCGGCGGTAGGCCATCATCTGGGCATGGGACTCATGGTGCAGAGGCAGGATCCCTAGAAGCACCTTCCACACCAGGGCGCGGTACATGGACGGGAGGGGGAACCTCTGACTAAAAGTACGAAGTTTCTCGATAGCCAGAGGGTCATCTTTTAGGAGCATTTCTAGTGATTTCTTTTCTTCTACTCCACGAAACCCCACTTTCTCATCATATTCCGAGCGGAAGTTTCTCTGAGAGTCTTCAGTCATGGTTCTTTCTTGGAGAGGGAGCAGAGGAGGGAAAAAATGAGGCTCAAGGTATAGGATTCCGGTTGATGTTTATTTTCTTTTAAGTAGTTGTGCTTCCTACACTGGACATCTCCGGCCGGCGGGTCGCACACGGGGTCGCACCCCGCGAGAGGCTGGCTCTCTTCTTTCTCATGCTTCTGGGTATCACATAGTCAAGCCCTGGACTTGAATTTCAACATTCCCTGAAACGTGAAACACATGAGCATCAAGCTCCATTGTACTTACAGGAAACATCGGAGGCGGTTTCAGCACAACATCAGGTAACTTTTCACCTCGGGTGAACCCAACTGCTTCAATATTAAAGGTATAAGCAGCACGTCCCCTTCCTCTATTCCCAGCCATCACAGCGGTGACCGTCGAAAAGGGAGCAACTTCTGAAAGACACCATTCATTATTAAGGTTGATTCAATCATGAAAAAATGCAGTTTTCAATGTAAAATATAAAACGTTTCACTTAACAAACCTACAACCAAACCCACTGCCACTGAGCTGTTTCTGGCTGGGAGCCACCCCTCCACATGGTTCCCACGGCTGTAAATGTTTACAGAGCAGACAGTCTAAGCTTTCTCCTTAGGAGTGGCTGGTGGTTGCCAAATTAGTGGTGAAGGGACACCTCCCAAGTTCAAAGAGGCACTATTTCTTTGTACTTGTTTGACTGACTAATTTGAACACAGGTCACGGTCAATCAAAACGACTGAGAAATCCCAGCTAATTGATCAGAGGGCAAACACTACAAAACAAGTAGTTCTCAATGGTGGCTGTACTAGAATGACTTAGAAAGCTTTAAAAACATAACGCAGTGACTTAAAAAGTGCTGTCTGGACAGAAGCATCACCTAGAAACGTGTTCGAGATGCTGTTACAGACAGGTTGGGTTGACTAGAGAAACAAATCCAAGGACACTCATATATGTATAAGAACGAACTTTATCTCAGAGTCATTGTATATTAAGAAAACATCGCAGCCCAGTCCAGATCAAGTCCCAAACTCTGGTATTTGCCCATAAGTCCCAATCTAGTCCACAAATTCCTCTTCAGACTCACATAGCACATGCTATGATGCCACAATGCAGGAAGATCACAGGCTGGTGGGTGAAGTCTTGTGGATCCAGTGTCATGGAAGCATCTAAGCATTGGCATGGGTTCTCCACGTAGCTCCTCCAGCACTCAGAGTCTCAACAGCAGTAAAGTGAAGCAGAGAGAAGGTGGCTTCCCTCCAGGGAGAGGAAGTTCCCAGAATCCTCATGAGGTCACACCCATTAAGGCTCCACCCCTTCACTCTTAATATCCTCAAGTTGACATGAGATTACGTAACTACTATCGATGCAAACTTTCCACCCCTGACTTGTGGAAGCAAAACCCTGGGAGTGGGCTCAGCACACTGTCTTAACAAGCCTCCAAGGGAATTCTGAGGCAAGCTAAAACACGTGAACAACGAACCAAACACATCAAGATCTCTGCAGGTAAGGCAAGCTAGGGGCGGCTTAGCCTGCAGCAAGTATTGAGAACTGGCTCTGCACGGGCACCTCAGCTCCCAAACGGGAAAGAAAATCCTGCAGCATCCGCAATTTCACCACCACGGCCTTCAGGCTGGCTCACTCCAACTGACCCACCACGCTGAGAACCTGCCTCCCACCAGATACTTGGAATCCAACTCTACGTTTTAACAAGATCCCAATGTGGTTCTTGTAGATCCCCAGATCTCCTGGAGATCTTGTTAAAACACAGATTCTATTACCTGGGTGGAAAGGCAAGCGCGCGCACGCGTGTGTATGTGTGTGTGTACACAGCATAAATAGGTTAGAAGTCTGGCTTCAAATACCTTATAAATTTAAAGTTATACAAATTATTCTCAGTCGTTTAAGAGTATTTGCCTTAACGGTGAAATGGCTACAACTGTCATAAATCTAGGTAGCCCCTGGATGTGATCATATGACCTTTTAATTCATTTGTACTGGATAACAGTACCCAGGTATTCTACTTGAAAAGGTCCGTTGATTGGGCATATTCAGTATCTGCATTACCTTTGTGCCTCCAGTCACACACACGGTATAAATAATAAGTGCACCTTTCTATCCTTAGGTATTATTTCCTCTGTTCTTTTTGTGAAGTGCTCTAGCAGCATGGCGCTGCATTTGATAAGGGGCTATGATACAGAGAGCACTTTCTGATACGATTTCGCACTGCTCATGCATAACCTCACGCTTGTCGCGTCCACTTCCAAGTGTTCCAGGCTTCATAACTAGTGAAACATTAAAAGTTTATTTTAGTTTTATCTTTAATGTTGCCATTATGAACTATATGCTTTATATGCCACTTGGCAGCGCTGACTCTAAGGTTTACTGTTTTTACTTTGTATTATAAGCATTTCGATCACACATAAAAACAGAGAGTGGAACTAAGCCCTGTGCCCACCACTCGGCTTCAACAATGATGAGTAAACAGGTACTCTTTGTTCACCTACTTCTCCCACCTTCTCATCCCCGGAGTATGGTACCCTCTCAGCATGAACTTTCTCTGATGTAAGAACTTTAGCATACATATGATCACATTAAACATTAATAAGCCTTTAATATCATCTTATACGCAATTGTCAC